AGCGAAAAAAAAAGGAAAGGAAAAAGAGGGGGAAAAGACGGGTGTTAGAATCCTTCGTTAATGAAAAATATTTCCCCCCCCCCCCCCCCCACACACACAATGGATTACACAGCATCTGAAAGAAAATAACTCCTTCAGCATTTTGCATTTTATTTTCTCCTCTAAATTAAGAAATAGACGTAATAATGTTCTATTTTTTGCAGCACACGTCATTGATTAACAATCTTGACTAATACGGTTGTTGTCGATGGATAAGGTCTCGTTTTCGACGACGCCGAAAGGTAAAATCTTCTTTGAGTATGTCACTCGAGGAACTGAATGGATTCCATTTAATTTTTTTCAATTGTTCTATGACAGACTTTTTAAAATTGTTCACTAGCCGAGCACTCATACTCAAACCACTGGAAATGGCTGGGGAGAAGAATTGCCATTTTCGCATGTGAGCAATGGCTTTCGATGCTGCATGCAATTCTTTAACCGTTGGATGAATGGCAAACAGATGATCGAAATTATCATTGCCCAAATCATGACGAAGATCATTGAAAAATTTCTCGGTAGCAATCACTGCTAGATTGGCCGCTTCGTAGCTGAAAACAGTAAAATGACTTCGTACTTTTTTTTCGTGCATAAAATAAGTATAAATGACGTCTCACTGAAGATCGAAACGGGGTGAATATATTGGAATGGTTGTATCTTTATTGATTCCGCCAATGGCTGGCTGATGCGAGGTAATATCCATCACTGAACCATGTGAACATTTTTCGACATTGATTGGTTTGGTAACTGGATCATTATTTTCATTATGTTGATTACTCGAATAACCACTTGTTAGTAGACCTTGAGCAATAATTTCTGGTCGAATATTATTTTTACATTCGTAATATTCCAATGGACATCTATTCAATGTGATTTTTTGATAGAAACTCTTGAATGAAAAAGAAACAATGATCCAATTGAAATATGTTTGTGAAACAATGACTTTAAACTTACACATCGTACTCGAATTTTTAAACAACCACTGCTAGTACAAGTCGATTGATTGGGTGCAGCGACCCGTCCAATATTGTCGTCAATGCCTAACCGATCGTTAATACTCACTTTGCCTAACTCGATCCAGTTCGAATGTGAATAAAAGTCTTGTAAGGTATGTAACAGTTGTCCGAGACGTTTACGAGCTTCAGTCAAATTTTTATGTTTTGCACGTGCATCATTAATGACTAGACAATGAAAAATTACAACACATGGAATCATGAACTAAAACAAAACTCATTGAAACTGACTTTGTCGTCGTAATTGAAGAATGCGTCGACTTCCATTGCTAAATGCTTCACTATCGAAATGGGCTGCTGGTAATTTTTTCGTCCAAGCATCAAAATCGACCAAGCCGTTCTCTGCCAGAATCGTATCAAGAATAGATTTCAACGGATACGTTCGCTGTTGTAATTGATTCGTAGTCCAATGAGGATATGCCAGACGATAGAGTTCATCAATAGTATATTCTTGATTTTTATTAATCTCTTGATGTCGAATGGAATGTGTATCGATAAAGTAACGTGCGAGACTACGGATAAATGCTTGTTGTGTTATTTCAGTGTGTGTAACACCTGTCATAAACAATCGGAAACAATCGTGTCAAGGCAATGCATCAAGAAAATCTTACTTTTGCCAGCTTGACCACCAAGTCGGACAGAAGGATGTGGAATAAATCCTGTTATTGATACCATAAGTAAGCAGAAACAAGTCAGGGACTTTAGTCTAATATTTAACATCGATGTTGATCGAAAATGTGAAAAATAAAATGTTGTTGGTCGATGATTCTCTTTACGTGTCAATTTGTATTTCTAGATAAGATTGGTTTGCTTTATTATCGAGGAAATTCGATCGATATTCTAAATCGATGCATTTAATTCGATGCACACTATTGATTGTTCCCGATACCGACGAAGAATCGAAAGAAAAAAAGATGATCGGAGTAACCTCATTTACTATTCGAAGGAACTAATCAAAAATAGCATTTAAGTATGTTAATGTGATACGAATCATCAGTTTAGAATTATTTTTCTTTTCAATAACAACCAGCTCTCATCACTCAAACGACTCATGTGTTTCATGTTCATAGAGCTTTACAGAAAGAGAATTTAGAAATTTACGAATCACTACAGAGAAATTTCTTGTTATGTTGTGCCTTATGAAAATAATGTATTCAGAGTACTCGTGCAATGAATCATGTTTAGAGAGAGTATTAATCAGTACTTTCATATTAGTGTTACATGAGAATAAGTGAAATACATTTACTGAATTATCATGAACAAATCTTTCACTTGTAGGTAAGCTTGATACCCTAACGAGAATGGTTCAATTAATAGTTGACGTAGTGATAGAGAAAACTATAAATTGTTTTGCTAGTTTTCCTGTTAACAATCATAATAGAAATGGAGATGTGGATTTTCTGTTCCGTTATTATTTTCAAGTTTTCGCTCCGAAAGAAAAGTTATTTCAAGAATAGTGATTGGCATAATAACCATGTGTCATCGACTATGTCCTCCTCACCAAAAGACACCAACATGCACACTCATTAACTCAGCTCCCCCATCACAGACGCCTCCTGCAATGATATTTGATATATGATTCACGGGACACCCTTTGATTGTATTCATTTAATCGTAACAACGAAAAATGTCATTCAGCTGTAGAAAATTAGCGAATGCCTGTTTCATCTAATCAAGATTTTCTGCTTATTCGTGAACCAAAGAGAACATGACGTATGGTGTACTCATTTTCGGTCAGACATTGCCGTGGAGGAATGAAAACATTCGGATCGCTGATGCCAACTGTGATATCATAGAAGAATGTGAAGTTGATACTATCATTTGGTTCAAATGTAATATCAGAAATGGGCAGACACTCTTTATAAGTCCACGTGCCTATATAACTGGCTGTTTGATTCAAGGGTATTGTTTGATTTCCACTCCTAATACATTGACAACAAGCTTAGTTAGTAGATTGGAAAACAAAAACAATGCAACTCACCACATGGTAATAAGTAGACCACTGTCGGGAGTTGCAGACGAACCAATGTATGCTTCACCGAGGGATCTAGCATCAGATTGGATGCCGTAATCATGCCAGGGTTGATCAAATGGAACACGTGAACAAATGCCTGTTTTCATATTGATAAAAAATGAAAGCTTGGCTTGATAAAAGCTAATAATATCATAGTACGTCTCGGTTTCACCGACTTTGACATCTTGCAAAACTCGTGTACGCTGATACACTGAATCATAGGTCAATTTACCAACAAGTTCTGCTTGCAATTTCGGATTGTAAGTATGAACACGTCCTTCCCATTGGCGAGGAGAGACACATGGCTTTGGCACTTGAGCAACTGTAAAGCCCAATAGGCACAAGATAATGAATGGCAACATTTATCAACAACACGATAGAGATTTAACAAAATAAAGGCATACATGTTAGCTTTCACCATTAGATCTCTAATCATAGTCCAAAGATAAGAACTTGCATTGTTTTGTTCTTCAGAACCTTGAAAAAAAGAATAATATCTTTGTTATCAACAAGCGATGAAAGTTGTTTTTTCATGATTTGACGGACATGTATGATTCAGAATTGCATTGCATACTTAAAGGAGCTGAGAGTGGGTGTAGATCAGACTATTCTTGTGAGAAACAGTTTATTAATACGGCTCTACAAGAAAGTGAAATTCATATAACTCTTGATGTTTCTAATACTAGCATTGTTTATTGTGTTCATCATGTTGCATATACACCAAACCTTGTTATGTGATACCTTGCAATAAGTGATATAGAACAATATCCGTGCCTTATATTGAGGCTTATTTTCCCAAATAAATACATATGATTTCTTCGCGAAAAGTGATAACTTTGATGTTTTCATATTTGAAATTGCTATTTTAAGCACTTGAAAGTAAGCTGTTGCTTTATTTTTATTAAGATCTAATTTATTTTTAAAATTGTATGAAACTAGCAGGATATAGGTTGTGGATGTGCATCTCGTCCTCCTCCTCCAAATCACACCCACAACTTTTCAACTAACAACAAATAAAATATGATCATTTTTTTTCTTGGTATATATATCGATGTGTTTAAATATTTTCAAGTAAGATTTAACAACATATCAATATAGAATGAGTCTATTAAAATATAATTGTTGAACCATTTCATTGCTCGAAATATAATAGAAGATATGAAAGATACATGGTCTCAGTATATATATTCGATTGATTGTACAATAAAGGAAATATTTAAAATCAATAAATGAGTGTTAATGCAGAATTATGCAACTAAATAAAGTTGTTCATTTACACTTGACTTACAATAACTTTGTTGAAATGAAGCTCATATCATTAAAGCTAGAATATTAAACACAAAAGGTAACGTCATCTGTTGACTTTATCATTTACAAGTTGACTGCAACTATGCACTGTACACTGTTCATCGAGAAAACAAATGTTTCTAGTATCATTGATATCTTGCTTCACTTGTCTTGTTCAAGCTCTGATACTAATTTGAGTAATCGATCAAACAAACAATTCTTTTAGAATATCCTGAAAATTCTGTTTTAAATAAAATTTGCAGTGTCAAATCAAGAAAAAAAACAAAATTGAAAAATCAAAGTTTTTTAAAGTCAACAAATGTTTGAATTTAATAAAAATTACTGGTGTTAGTCTTTTTGATCATCAGTAATGTTCATATTGCTGAGCCTTAGCGCCGTTTAATTGTAAAATGAACCAACAATATCCATCAGATGCGATAAGCTGAAAAAAATTGTTCACTAAATTCATTCAGATAAGTATCAGTTATATTAATTGTCTTGTTGTTTTGAATTGTTTGACGAGACATTTAAATAGAATTAACTCTTAATGTATAGAGCGAATAACCAAGAGATCTTGTTATCCAATTGAGTTTTGTCTGAAAAACGAATAATTTTTAATCGTCCTAAACGCACTTGTTGAGGATCGTCAAAATCAGTGGTCGCATAACTTTAGTGTTCTTGAAGATTGAAGATCATTCAATGGATAGGTTTTCAAAAGTTCTTGTGCCATTTATTTCATCACGAGTACGTCGAAAACTAAGAACATCATCATAAAAACTCAAATATTCACGATTATTGTTAATAACCACACCAACATGTGTTATTTGACTTGTTTGAAAATAAGATGATTCATTAACTGGATCATAAAATGATAAATGGTAATCGAATCTCTGAAAAAGAATTCGCCGAGTCAATGGTTGAATTAAACACATCTCTCGAACGCGCGGATATTTATCATAGAACGAAATCGGAAGTATTTGTAATAGTCAAATTTCTGCACGGATTGATGGAATATAGTAGATTGACATATTTTGTTCTTTTGCTTCTTCAGTATGATTTTCTAATCGAAGAATATTGTTTATCAACATCGTTCCCCAACGATTTCTGATAATTTTCATTGGAGATAGTTGTAGTCCATCATTTGTCGGTTTATTCCAAATAAACAGTCGAATTAATTCATGATCAGCATTTTAATGACGTAATCGAATCGACTGAAGTTTTGATTTTACACCATAAAGTTGCAATGCATTTGTTTCTAATAGTTCATCCTTGGCTCCTACGCGATATCCTAATAGTTGCCAATATTTAATTAAAGACCCAGGATCAGTAGTTCCAATAGCAACTTCATAAACTTCACCAACAATCTTTCCTTCTTCCATTTCAATACCAATGGTAAATTTAATAGAAGATCTAAAAAAGACATCAAACTCAACATACTTCACGAAATTTCTTATTGAGTTCGTTCATGATTTTTATCAAGCAAAGTAATTGTATTTGCTGAAAAGCTACAATTCCATGTGATTCAAACAGGACAAAAAGCCACCGATATACCGGTAGTAATTTGATAATTAAATGGTTGTCGATCCACCTATCGCCATTCTACTGTGTTATATTGGCGGTAGTGCGAGTCAACCTGTCGCATGGGATCTTATCACTCGAAACTCGATTTGTGTCAATAATGATGATAAGAACTATGCTGAGACGCGTACTTTTTTTCATTTGTATGGTAATTAAATATTCGGTTTTTATTTGATTTTAATTACCTTTATTTTTGTGTGCAGGAGCTAATTCGATCTGAAAATGGAGACCGTGATATAAAACGAAAAAGCAGAAAGTGGAATGTAGATATGAGTATAGGTATCGTTATTGATTTTCTTTTCATCCTCGCCCATGTCCTTTGCATATTGTGTTGCAGAAAAAATAAGTATAAACATCTGACAATTCTAGCTAATTTGTTGATTCAATTTCTTTCCATTTTTCAGGATTGCTCTTCATAGAAAACATTTTTCTATGAATATCAATACTACATGTGAAATAAATATATTGAATTCTTTAAATATTATTATACAATAGTTCATATAATTTCGACATTTCAACAAGACGACATTTTTATTTTTCGATATTTTAACAGTTTGACGTATTTGTTATTCTACCTTTTTACCTATCTGCGTATTAATTTTCTAGATTTCTATCGGCTACACTGTCATCTCTTGATTTTCAATTTTCGAAATTATTATCATTCAACATTTATTTTTATGACAGTTTGATTATTCACACATCTACCCACACCCAACCAATGAATCAACTATACAATTATTGGTTAGCCAAATCCTTTTGGTTCTTAAAAATTCAATGAAATCGTGGTTCAAATATGCGCTAATACTCGATATTGGCTTACCAAATTCACCACCAACTAATGGACATGTAACAATTCTATTCATCAGTGCAGAAATCGAAATTTCTATTAAACACAGTGGTAAAATTTGTCTATTCAATGATGGAAAAATCAATAAGAGCAAAACGATATTAAAATTAAACGAATATCTACGTTTAGTTATTCTTGTTCAAAATAAATCGGTCGAAATTTCTATTAATGTAATCTTACAGTTTCGTTCGATTGTCGATAATGATCAATTTATATTAAGAAACCAACTGCATCGATCTATTTTGAGAATTGGCTTTACTAATGATTACTACAAAGAATGATCGAATTAGAATTTATAGAATCCGATTTAATGAATCAATAAATGAAATCGTTCAATGAATCACTAGTATCATTGATTGTATTCCAATGAATTGAGTTACTTCACTTTTTTGAACGTTTGAAAGGAAGCAGAAACAAATGGAATATAGCGAGGTTGATTTTGAAAGACCTAGTAGAAAAGCGTGCGTCTATAGCAGTTCACCTTAAGTTAATCACAATATGAAACAAGCGGTATTTCACGAGAAAAACTTTCAATTTCGCATACTGGCAGTCTCTTATATATAGCCTATTAGTTAGAATGCACAAAAATTACGCGTGCCAATTTAATCAGAACAATTTATTTCTTATTGATCATATAAAATAAGACATCGCATCTCAATGCTTTTTTGTTCAACATTCGATGGTGACACATGTTCATTGATAAAAGCAGTATGAAAACCAAACTGTGCGACATCAGGCTTGCTATCGAACATTTTAATTAGAAACATTTCATCGGATCGCATCTCGCTCAGATAGTACCATCTTTGGGAGTCTGGGATTTTGCATGATGCCGTGTAGGCCAAGCCGGTATTCGGGGAACCTCGCACTTCGAGTGGATGAACATCATTTTCAATATCAACGGAACAATAGTCGCAAATGGCTAACGGTTTGTCTGATATGGCATTGGAGCCTAATGGTCGCCAGATGTTTATTAGTTGAAATCGAGTCTGCATTACATTTTTCGCTTCGTCTTTGCCAAGCAGTTCTTCCATTTTCAGCCTAGCCGAAGTTGGAGTAAAATCGACATGTGGACAGAAGACAGGATTCTTGTGTTTTGCATCGCAATCATTATCGGGCCGTACTAGACCTCGATAACGGAAGATGTGGCTGAATATGATCACACGAGAGGCATCCAAACGCTTTTTGAGGAAGAAAATTATCTCGTTATAGCATCTTTGATGTTCTTCGCTGCCTTCATTGAATTCATTACTTGTGAATCCTTCGTATTTGCCCACCTCAAACCCGTTGATGTCGAGATCGACACTTTTTTCCTTGCCTCGCAAATCATGAATAGTGAGACGAGTAGTTGGTAGAGCAAAATTTAAGCTCATTCGACTTGGCAAGCTGCTTGCATCGTTCCAGGGAGGACAACCATCCGTCGTGTGCGTTAGAAAATGAATCTCTCCGATGATGTCGCCGCCCATTATCAATTCGATGTAATTCGTATAAAAGCAACACCTGTGCGAAGTGAAAGAAGAAACGACAGTCACAAATTAATTCTCTTTGTCTTTCTTATCTTTCTTTACTTCGAACAGAGCGGCTCCATGTTTGTCTTCGCCCCGCAATGTATTTGTCGACGATGAGCTGCCTTTTTTCTTTTTCTCTTCGTTTCTCTAAACGATATTGTGGACGTAGGTGGGGTTAAAAAGGAAGACCCACTTTGGGTGTGGGTGGGTGTGGAGTGTGGATGTAAGTGCTGGTGTAGGTTTCAGTGTCGGCATTCTCTTCCATGAGACCCACATCCACACTCAAATCCATTCACACGCACACCCCGCACCCCTTGGTCATTCATGCTCAGAAACCTGATTGGTTAAGATCTGGATGTAGAATATCAGTAAATGATTGAGTATTTCACGCTATAAGCCTCTAATTTTGTCAATTTGATACATGCACAAGTTTGATTTGCCCAGTTTTTCCAACGAAACAAAGTACAAACAAGTATGTCCATTCGTGAAGACTCACCGTTTTAGACTTAGGAATAATATTTTAAGCCAGAAATACAGCCAATTCAAACATCTTTTTCTTGCATTCACTTTTGGTGATATTTCTTTTTAAACCCGACTTTTCTTGATAGTCAAGTAACAATTGGGATTTACAAGAAAAATACTGCTCATATTCAAACTACCCTTTTAAAATAACATATGGGAAGCCGCTTTTCCAAAAGCTCAATTTCTATTACTTATCGGGATAGCAAAAGTTTTCAGGAAAACTAAATTCAAACTCAACTTCCTCACTCCTGAAAATTCGTTGTTGACATAAAATACAAACTAGAATTGTGTGTTTGAGACTGAGAAACCTGGTTACAATTTTGAGATAAGTAGAACTTGAACAAATCAACAAGCTATTTCGGATCTGCAAACCCATCATTTAATGATTGACTATGATCTTATTTTGGTACTTCACAATGTGAATATTAGAGATTTCTTTGTTTTTGGATTTATATAAAGAGTTGACATTTTAAAAATCAAGAAGACATTGTAGCACATCGCCATTATACACAATGTCAAGTAGGTTGACATTGTCCATTATATCAACCAAAACTCATCAGACGTAACTCACTAATTCCAAACTGCTTGGAATTAGTTCAGTCCTGTTCACAGCTATCACCTTACTGTTAGGTTCAATATAAACTATGTATAAGAACCAGGGCAACTCCAGCACTCTTCGAGCACCTGGTAGCAAAATTTGGTGCTTCGATGCAGCACTTACTCCCTTGAGAAAAACTAAACTCACTGTTCGCTGAATTCATGCTGTAAAAAAAGCTAAAATAAAATAAGCTCGAATAAAATACCAAACAACAAAATAAACATAAAAGAAAAAGATTTTTACTCCATGTAGATTGATATCATGCCGCAGTAAAATCTAAAGGAAAAAAAAATAAATAAAATACATTGAATGAAAACAGAAACGGTCGTTTTATACTTTCGCTCTACCAGAGACCTGATTGGTCACAGAACGAGCATATATCAAAGCACCAAAAAGAAAAGAAAAGAAGATAAAATAAAATAAATACAGTGAAAGGCAATAAAACAAATAAAATAGAGAACAATACAATAAAAATCAAATGACAATTAAATTAAAAAAATTCAATAAAGTAAAATAAGTGAAATAAAATAAAGTATCTATAGATATTTTTATATCATTGAATTTCGTCCGAATCCGGCAAAATCCGACATCGGAAATCGTCGAAAATTATCGAATAATCATGGTTTTCGACTCATGAAAACCGTAGAATAGTTTTGGATCTTATCGGATCAAACACGGTAAAGTTTATCCGAGAATTTTTTAATTTGTAATTGCGAAGGATAATAATTGATGTAAAATTTCACTGATGCGTCATTTTTCGAAATTCCATGCGCTTGTCGAAAAGTCAACCCAGACGATAGAGCAGATAAATAATTTACTGGATTATTTTGAGTTACTGTGTCATAATAAAGAAAAACATATAGCAGAGACGCCCTGGCCGAGTGTGGCACGTCACCTATTCGAAACCGGAGCGTACAAGATTCTATTCCTCCTCCCCGTATAAACATACTGGCTACAGCCGTAACGTACAAGTAATGTCTTAGCACAAGGTCATACACAGTAACTCAAACAATTTGTCTATTGTATCTATGGAATGCATGTGCAAAAATATCGCATGAAAGGAGAAAAACATGTACTATTGATAGTTTCATGCTTATCCTCAATGTTAGAAATCGAAACCAACATATGCTATGTTTGGCGAGAAACGCTAGCTTATATTATTGTTGGAAGAGTGTCTTATTTTATATCAAGTTCACAAGCTTTAGCGATTCATTGATCGATCAAGATTAATCTAAAATAGAAGGAAACATTTGAAACACATAGCATTTGACTCACCAATTACAACGATCAATTGATTAAAGCACATCGATCTATGGTGAAATAGAAAGAGATATTCAAAAGAACAAATGTAGAATTTACTTACCATTCACAAGAATCGAATGATTAAAAGAGAGGATCTGAAAGAGAAAAAAACATTCCAAAAATAAACAGAAGTAGAATAAACTTATCAATATTACGAAATCTGTT